CTCAACATTCATTTACAGTTGAATATGCGCAAGAGATTATGCAACAACAAAGCGATAGCCTGTATGTATTTGTGAATCAATTCTTTTTGTTTGAAAAAATGTTAGTTTTTAGATTTTCTTTACATTCAAATCCTTTTTAATATATCTTTTTTTTAGTGATTGTGGAATGTTCGTAGCTGCTTATGCAGAATATTTGAGCGACGAAATCAAAATTTCATCCGTTGGTCTTCAGAGCGACTATCTTCGCAACAGATACAGAACATTGTTATTGAAGTATGGCATGGACAAACACAAGGATGGATATGTTAGTCATAATGATGATCCAACAAAGCCAAAGGGCGAGTTTTCTAAACAGGCAGAAGATGCATTTGTTGATGTTGATTAGTTAGGCTTATATTATTTTTGAACTATTATTGGAACGAAATATTTTTTTGTTTTACATACTTTTTTGGTTCAATATTACTAAGCATTTTATAATTTTAATAATTTATTTTATCAAAATGCTGATGATACTATATTAAATTTTTTCAACAACATAACTGTTAACTTATTTACTAAATTATGACACATAATTACTTAGTTAAAATTTATTAATTATTTGATAAATACCAATATATGAAACTATATTATAATCAGATACGAAGTAACAATAGAATTCTTATGTTAGTATCAAAAAATAAAATTAGTATATTATTAAATAATGTAAATTATTTGTGTTCTGAATAAGTAGTATCGTACAAGAGTTTGAATAATATACTTATATATATACAGTTAGTTTAGTTTATATTTTTGTCAACTTTTTGAATTTAATTATATTAGTTAATTTAATATCAGATCCATTATACGTTTACCATTTTATGTAATTGATATTAAACAAGTTGTAAATTTTTATAAATTTGTAAATATCTTTGCACATAATGCAATACAGTCAAAATTTGGTATATTTAGTATCAAATCAGATTTTGTAGCTTGAATCATTCACATGCTATTAAACACATCAAATAAAAAAAGTTTACATATTATTAGCAAATTAAAAATATCCAGAAACATTATTACACATCAAATAAACTAAAAAAATATAAATCAAGAATCTTTTGGAAAGAAGGTACATGTTCTTTTATTATGACCTTCTTGACCAACGCCCACAACAATTCATTTTTGTTGTTATCTTTTCATCTGCATTTTTCTTTCTCTTTTTTCTTGGTCTCCCCGAAATCTTTTTGTATTTAGGTGGCAAAACAACTTCTTCCAAAACAGAGTCTGGAGCTTTCGATTCTCTTTTGTCTGACATTGGTTCTATTGAAATTGCATAAGTATTTGTTAATGCATCGTGTTTATAATAATCAGAGCAGTAGGGGTATACATCAGTTATATTCTTCTTCTTCAAGACAGCTATTGCATGTTGACAAGGTATCTCGTCATGCTGAAATCTCCCAAATCAACAAATTTTCCTCTCAAGACAAACAATGTATCTAATCCCACCTTCATACACTGAAAAAATAAACTCAGAAGATGCAACAACCTGCAATTTTTGAAAAAATAGAGACAGTCAACAAGTGTTTTTTTTTCATTTTTTGTTTATACATAAAATAATAAATACAAAACAAATATGTACCTTCATTTTTGCACTTTTTGATGCGTTTAAAACCAATATTTCTTCAAATCTTCTGCCCAATGTTTCTTTTGTATAAGAAGCTATTTTTCTATTTTTGTGATTCCAAGAACCAAATAGAATTCTAACTTCCTCCAAAAAAAAATCTATAATAGGTAGTTGTCGTGCATCAACAAGGCAACCACTGATACATTCAGCTATATTTGAAGTTACCATTCTCCTAGATTCACTGTTGCATGAGACCTAGCCATCTTTCATTCCCAGCATCTTGAAGATACTTTTTTTACTCTTTCATCTATTTTATCCAATTTAGCCATCAATTTTTTAAAATCATCCTTTCTATAAGTCTTAGCCATTGAATAAAACAGATCACTTAGAATGGTCCTGCTTCTCCTAAAGTTTAAACACACATTTTTCCAGAGGTGCCATATGCATGCAAAATGAGGAACAGTTGGACAAAAAATGCTCACACCTTTCTTTATGCTTTCATTTCTGTCAGATACAATACACATTTTTCCCTCTCACCAAATTCATTCTTAAATTGTTGAAAGAACCATGTCCATGAACAATTATTTTCTGTGTCAACTAGTCCGTACGCCAAAGGCAATATGCAACCTTAATATATAAACACAAAACAACATATACTAAATAACTACTTAATATTAAGAAAATAATAAAATAAATTCATAAACAACATGTCATACCTGTTTCATCAAGTGTACTAGCAGACACAAATGTACCTCGATAAACTCCACTAAGATGTGAAGCATTTACAACAACAACTGGCCTACAGAACTCAAATCCTCTCATCATTGGTCGTAATGATATGAAAAGATACATAAATTCGTTGTATTCACACTTATGCATCCTCATATATGAATTTGTATACACAGTTTCCAACATATATATGTACCTTGGCATGTTTCTGTAGCCATCAGTAGGTTTACCTCTTATAAGTTCCAATGCACGCTCTTTTGTGCGCCATGCTTGTCGATAAGAAATCTCAACGCCATACATTTTCCTGATATAATCAATTATATCGCTCGGAGTATGTTTTCTTTTATGATTCCTTAATTTAGGCGCTGTCATACCACTAACAAACCCAACTGTGGATTGTACCTTGCTTAATACCCTATCCCTTAATGGACATGTATGTTCACTAATAAAGTATCTCACTATGAATTTTTCTGAATTCTTTCTAACAGATGCCTTCAATTTCTAACAACAATCATTTGAATGACAAATTAATACGTAGCTGCAATAAAAAAACATATATTGACTATTTGCTAAGATTGACTTTTTTAATAAACAATATATATATATATATAGACACACACACTTTATTTCATTTTCACAATATAAATGATACTTTATAATAACTATTTCACATCTTTATAACTTTTTCTGTAAATTGATCAGAACTATTACATTTACTGGTTTAAACATTCAAAATGTGACAAAACTTATTACGACCAAATCGTATTACACAAAACACTACACACAACATATAATATTGAAAACCAATTATATATTATTAAAAATATTAACATATAAATTGAAAACATACCTTTTGTTATCAGATCTTTTAACTTTAAAATTGAAACTATTCTTTATTTTGTAATTTCCATTACCACCTTCAGAGTTGAGTTATCATTATACATTTGATTCTCTTACACAAATGAATTATTGGTGTCTGATATATACTTATCAACATCCATTTCCGGTATGTAATATGCATAATCAATTGATGATTCAACAATATTGAGAGCCTTTGCATCGTTTTTTTCACCCTCAAAACACATGATGACACCTGTTGTTGCATCGAAATTTATTATCTCTTCAACACCTTTATCTGAAGTATCAATGCATAAAGGATAAGTTCCGAACCCAGCCTCATGATTCTTAATTTCTACATACAATTTTACACCCATATCATTCTGAATACACAATGGAGACGAATTTCCTTCAACAACATATCTAATGTCTATATTTTTTTTCGATTCGTCAATACCCAACTCAGCCGCAATTGTTGAAATAAGATTCATGAACGAAATATTTTCACCAACCACTATCCCATCACTTTTGTATCGCTCATACATAAAATCACTTTCCCATATTCCAGAATGTCGCAACAAGATCGAAATATTCATATTTAAAAATTCAGAATTGGCGTTCCAGAGATTTTTTACGCAAAATAATTTTATTTTCTGATTCTGAATTTGACTTTTTAAATATTATTAAATTGAATGATGAATTAATTTAGTACGTTGTTATGCAGTTTTCACGGTAAAATTATTACAAGATTAACATAAATCAAGGGAAGGGAAATCTGTTACCCTTGATTTTCGCACTAACAGTTATATCCGTCCATTTATATTTAAGTATCATTTTTGTTTTATAAAGTATCCGAAATTCTTAAAAATAACAGATTTTTGGTAAATATTGATTTTATAGGGATAAAATGTAATTTATCATTTACATTATATCATTTGCCTAATTTTTACTTTTTAAATTCCCAACCATTTCATAATTTTCGAGCCCAATTCCTTTAAGGGCAACTTTCACATATAGCAAACAAAAAATTCATATTTGTATGCTATTGCAAACTTTGCATAATTGTTCTTCATAGCAAACATAAAACTGTATAATTTACTATACATATACAATTGTATAATTCGCTGGCTTAAGTTGTATAATTCGCTGGCCTAAATTGTATAATTCGCTGGCCTATTTCGCTGCAATTGTATAATTTATTTTGCATACAATTGAATCGAATTAAAATGTATGTATATTGCATAATTATAAGTGTATAGCAAGAAGATATATGTTTTTCTCGCTTTTACAAAAACAGAAACACAATATATACACTTCTGTTGTATAAAGCTAGAGAAAATTGTATTTTACTGCAATTGTATAATTCGTTGGCCTTTTTCTCTGCAATATTTGAAGTAAAATGTTTGTAAATTGTATAATTAAGTGTATAACACGAAGATGTACATTTTTGCATGTGTATATACAATTTCATCTTGCTTTATACATAAAAGAAACAGAATTATACACTTTTGTGTATAAAGCGAGAGAGGCGAGCGAGAATGGAGAGTGGCGAGCGAGATTTTTGGGAGAGAGATGCTAGCAAATTTTAGCTAATGTTTGCTATGGAGCACAATTAAATCAAACCCTAGCTATTCTATTTAATTTAGGTTATTAGTTTGCTATTATATACAATTTTCCCTTCCTTTAATCCCAAGAATTCAAATCCCAACCCAATTAATCATTCCAGCCCATCCCCTCATTAGCTCCAACCCAATTTTCAGCACCTTACTCCAGCCCAATTATTGAGCCCAAAAATTGACCCGACCTAACCCCCTTTTTCTTCTGCACCAAAAGAAGACCCAGATTCCCCTTCTGTTCATCCCCGTCACGGAGCAAACAAATACGACGAAAATCCGTCGCGTGGGCGACACCCGCGCGCGCAGGCGAAGCATTGCAATCCTTTGTCCCTTTCTCCTTTCTGCGCTTGTACGATTCCAACAGCACCTCCAAGCCTGCAGGATCGTCCTTGAGGATGCAGGATGACGCTACGTCGAGCTCCAAGGACGGGAGGTTGATCACACTCGTCCGCGTCCCTTTCAACTTTTGGGATTTTTGGCCAAATTTTGGGATAATCTGGTACAGCCCAACTGTTCCTTGTCCTTGGGAGTAATTTGAATTTGGATTGGGCATGAGATTCGCGATTCGTAAAACCCTAATTTCTTCTCCTATAAATACATCCTTATCGTTCTTGAATAGGGATCTTTTTTTTTTGGGTGAAGAATTAGGAAAAACTCTTAAGAGTTATAAGTATATTTCGGAAATTTTAGTGAAAATCTCTTAGGCAGAAAACAGAGAAGAGAGGGGAGGAAGATTTTGAGTTGAAAAATACATATTGGAGAGTTACAGAGGATATAGTAAGAAAAGAGACACAAGATACAGAGTGATATTTGAAAGGCACACTCTATATAAGTCGAAATTGAGGTGAATAGAAAGCCGAAAGATAGAGGAGGAACCGGTGTTTCTTTTTGAAGGTTGAGTCGCAGGGCCTTGGATCAAGATTTTTGTATTCCTTCTCTTTCATTCATTGTTCTTTGAAGTTCATCGAAAGCTCCTTGTGTTGGTTGGAATCATCCTCGAGCTTGCCTACGCCCAACTCGCTGCTCCTAAAAAGGTAAATTCCTTTTACAATTCTTAAACTATCTTGGTTGAGATGTTGTTTAGTTCGTAAGATCTGAGCTCAGTTCTAGTTACCTCCTTCAGTATTCAAGTTTATTTTGCTGGCTGTGTTGTTTCTTACTTCGTTTTGACTAAGTATGATATCTGGGTTTGTGTTGTTAGAGTTCTTTGGTTCTTGTGTGTCCTTACCATCCTCGGTCAAATGCGCGAATTAAAATTTGTAATGGTTTAATCTTATTTTGGTATTTCCTTTACTCTTCATTTTTAATGTGTTTACTGGAACAAACCGGATCATCTTAGTTATCAGAAGATTTGTTCTTTTCAGTCCTCAAAATTTTCATATCTGTGTTATTTTGTCTCATATCTGTGAATGTCAAGGTCCTTTTTTATTCATGTCTACAAATCATACGAATTTCCGATGTATGTATTTAGCGCTTTTCTTGCCGTTATGTCCATGTGCGAAGTGTCTTGCCTCTTGGGTCTGCAATATGAGTTAAGCCGAGTGTGAAAGTGTAAATTGAATGTAGTATGTCCACCGTTTCAGATTGCTATTGCCAAGGCCCAAGAACCTGATAAAATCGACGTGTTTCTCCTTTGGAATAGCAAATCTGTTTGCTTATAGTGCCTTCTGTTGGTTTGTGTTTTGTATGAACCATAATAGCCTGATGTTTGCTTCTCGCCCATTCATTTAGTTCCGTGTTATTTCCTTTGGTATTCCGCCCCCATATTTCCCTAATAATGTTTGAGAGTCACTTGCCATGCTTTTTTTAAGCGATTTGAATATTATCCTCCTGTTCGTTTTTCTGGGAGTGAGGTGTTTTTTTTGTCTCTAGTTTTCTCTATATGTGCTAGTATATGTTTATGTCATTGTTAGTCTTAAGGGGTGGGTTCTAAGTCGTAATATTTGATTCTCTCTGTTAATCAGCATGCCTAGTTACTTGCGATGAGTCCGAGTACTTTCCGAAAAGATGAGTAGGGTTAACAATGAACTGCTTATTTCAAATTGTCTAAATGCTCGCCGAGTGCCCCTCCCTGCTCAAGCTTCTTCTTTAAATATTGCTCTCATCAGATTTTGTTTTGTATTTAATGTTTCTTACTGTGAAGCAGCTAATGAAAGGAGAACAATTTTAATGTATGCATCTAAGTTGTTTCGACATCATGACCTTGGCTGTCACGTCCCTCCCTTTCTATGTTTGTTTTCTCACTACTTGGAAAAAATTTGGGTTTATCTCCGTCCCCCCCCCCCCCTCCCTCTTTCATCTAGGCGTTAATGTTTAAACGGGTTACTATTTATGAGTCGATTCAACATGGTTTTCAAATATCTTGCTTTTCTTTGTACATTTTAATCTTGTTAGAAATGGTTTAAAGTTATTTGTTATCTTTTAGGGTCATGTTCCTGCCTTTTTTTTCTGTAAGTTAAACAGTTGGTTTAAATTTCAATTAGCTTTCTAGGCAAGACTCTCCCGTATGTGCCCTTGTTGTCAACATGTTTTAGCTATTTTAAGTGTGGGTGTATTCCTTGTAATTATGTCCGCTTTGGTTACTTTCGGTACCATTTCTTGCTAATGATAAAATAAGTCACTTTTTTGTTGCTCACAGTGAGCCGATCACGCTATCAGTTTTTTGGGGGGGGGGGGGGTATTATTATTATTGTTATTTGAATGCAAGTTCTCCCTTTATCGAGTCAATCTCAAAAAGATGGCGTACTAATTCCTAAGCCGGAGAAAATTCAGATGAATTCGGAAGCTAAAGAATTTTGGGATCAAGACGCCCAGAATTGTTTTTTCTAAATTTTGTATTTCGGGGGCTTAAGCCCTTGTCGTCTTTATTTTCTGTAATTTATTACTTATTATTGTAGTGTTAGTTTAGGACAGGTACTATTGAAATGGGCCAAAGGTTCAAAACCCATTGGGTGCAACTATCGGTCCAGTAGGACAGATAACCCAGATTTGGACTCAACTCTCTCTCTCTTGTTTTCGTTTATTTTTCTTTTATTTGTCGGTAGTTTTAAGGTTAGAAACTACAAATCCTCGCAAGACGCCGCTATATTTCAACTATTTAAACTAAATCGATCGACTATAAAAGAAAGACTTAAAAAATGACCTAAAATAATTTAATGAAGTAAATAGTCCATCTAGATAATAGTTTCAAGTATTTTTGCATTTTTAACAAATCTTCAAGTCAAATGAAAGGATTCACTTATGTAATAAGATTAATACTTATTTTCAAACAAACTTCAAAAATTTTCTCATCTCAAAATTAAATTAAACAATTATTAGCCAAATAAGCTAGTTGTCGGAAAATTACATTAGTGGGTATTTTAGGTGTTGTAAAACCTTCCTAAAATATAAATGAGAATCTTCGAACCCCTTTTAAGTTTTTAAAAAATCATTTTTTCTGTTTAATTCTTTTGGAAACATAGCTTTTCTTGAATTTTTTCAAAAATTAAGTGGCGACTTGAAAAAGTCGAAAACATAAAAAAAAATATTTTCCGAGAACTTTTGAAAGTTATTGTAAGTTCCTTTTAAAAGATAACTCCTTATCCAACCAATATCACAGTAAAATGTTATGAGGATTTTATTTCGAACTGCCAGGGTAGAATCTGGGTTGGGTAAAAAATGTGGTATTTCGGCTTACTAAACTTTTTAAGCCATGAAAACATTTCCTTTCACTTCCAAACCAGAAAGAAAGCTTAAGAGAGGGTTCATATGGAGTTTATGCATGATGAAGGTTAGTTTTTGATGAATACTTCCATAAAAGATTTCCCCCCGTGCCTAGAAACGTGATCTTTACACATGACAATCGTTTTTCCCTTCTATTCACTGTGTTTGAATCTATAAGATATAAATTTGTAAATACTCATGTTTCTTCAAGTTTTTCACTGGGTTAACTAAGGTAAACATCTCAAAACTCTTTTATGAATTTCTATGGACGTTCCGACAAGTTGGAGAAATATGGAAAATCTGCCGATTTAAGATTAATTGTGAAGTATTTATAGGTATCTACAAGCTCTGTACATATAGTATTGCGAAGCTTAGAACATACGGACAACATTCTTGAAGGAAATTACGATCTTTCGAGCGCATTGGAAAGGTATGTTAAGGTTATTCCCTCCATTCGACATGTTTACTTAGATCTTGGGAGTGATATAATAGGGTAGTTAATGTTGCGTGATCTTGTAGATGTAATTGCGAGTGGTTGGATGATTGAGTGGTTATAAACCATCATTTTAGGGACTCATAGTCTGTTAAGAACGATACTAAGTTAAGTTGACGTGGAGAATATTTATATATATTGTTTATAGCTAAATTGCTCGCCTTTTGCCTATTCAATTGTTTGTTGTAGCCCTTGGGGCTATTGTGGTTAATTGTTGAGCTATGATCTTCCTATGGGGGCTATGATGCTGTCTACTAGGACTACGCTATTGCCAATGAGGTCTATGTGTTGCCCACAAGGCTATATTGATTCCAACGAGTGTTATGTGTTGCCTATAGGGCTATTTTGATGCCAAAGACGGCTATGTGTTGCCTATAGGGCTATGTTGATGCAAGGGAAGGCTATGTGCAGCCCACAGAGCTATGATGTTGCCTAAGAGGGCTATACACTGCATGCGGGCTATATCGCTGCCAAAAAAGGTATGTGACTTCTTACAAAGACAGGGGGCTACCGATAGGGGTAAGCAGATTGATTGACACCTTTTGGACTTTTGGTGGCCTAGGTAGGTGGTATGTTGTTTGTACCTACTGAGCTTATGAGGTCTTGGTTAGGTTGTTGTTTGATCATTTTTGTATTTTTTTTTTATTTAGTAGTGGGTTAGCATGCTTATCTAAATTTTGATTTCCTTACGTGATTGCTTTTGGTATATTATGATACTTGCTCATTATTCTATAGCATTTCATGCTCGGTACATTATTTTGTACTGACACCCCATTGTCAGGGGTGTTGCATTCAATACATACATGTCCCAATACATGACCCAGTAGACTTCCTCATCAACAAGATTAACATTTATATGATTGTTTTACGAAAAAATATAGTAAAAGATAAATGACTAAGTTTCAAAAAATCAATAAATCTTATGATTTAAGAAAAAATGATTTTCCAAGTTACAGAGTCGCCACTTGATTTTTTAAAAAATATCAAGAAAAAATCTTATAATTATTTTCAAAAAATTTAAACAGATAAAATCAGTTGAAAAAGGGTTCGAAATTCAAATGTGTGTACATTCCAAGAAGGTATTAGGACCTCGGAACGCCCGCTAACTCGCGGTTGACCCGAGATTTGACTAAAAATGGCTTTTCAATAATTATGAAAACATATTAATTCAGAAAAAAATCCCATTTTTTATTTTAAGGTAAATAAACTTAAAAGAGATTTTTTTAAGGGAAGTAAGTCATAGCGCACTACATCTAATGAAATAAAATAAAACTAGATAAAGAAAAAATAAATATTATAATTTTTAACATAAAAGGATAAATGACATTTTTTCCGTGAATTTAATCGAACAAAAATCAATGCAAAGAAAGGTTAGTTAGACAAAAAAAAATCAAATACAATAAAAGGTAAGATGAGGTTATAAACTTGGGCCTTCTCCCAAAACTTGTGCCAAAGCAAGTTGTGTATACATAATTGTATACAGATGTATACTAAGCGTATTTCAAATGTATACAGCCTTCTCTTGATCCTCTATACCTGCATTTTAATTTGCAGCCATGTATTCACAGCAACTCAACATGTATATCAATTATTAGGTCTGTATATCATGTATACAGAATGTATACTGCACATATACAACTTTCTTTTGAGCCTTTTTGGAATCTGAAATTCAATTTCCAACCCCTAGCATTTCACATTCTTCCCTGTACACCCATGGTGTGGCTGACTCAGTGACAAAAGAGGTGTAAACCTCTATGGCTCGATTCGGGAATGCAAATGGAAGAACTCCATTATGGACTCGAAGAGATTCATACAAGAAAGGAAAGAAATGATATTAGCCTATGAATCAAACAAAACAAATGAGAGAATAAAGTAACTCAAGTATTTTAAGATTTAAGATGAAAACCGAAATTACTACTAAATCACAATAAAAGATGACTCGAAACAAAGCTGAATGAACTACTATATGTCAACCGACACTTAACGATAACAAGAGTTAAGGAAGCAAACATTTAAAGCCTATACATGTAACACAGTAAACAGTGACTCCAAACACAAATAAAATAAACTAATGACAAGCAACATGACAAAGGAATATGTAGGCAAGCTTTGAGCAATACACTGTATATTTTCATAAATGCAACACCTAAATTGTATACCACTTCCATATCAATAAGAATGGTCAAACATTTCCACTAGAAAAACAAGAATAGGCAGAGATGAACCATGATTTGTAGATATTCATACACCTTAAAAATGACACAGTAAAAGCAAAATAAAATAAAATTTGAACCAACTAATATAAGATCAAAATGGCATATGCTTAATTTACTATACCTGTGTTATGCTAAAAATGACCAAGGAAAACATGCACCATTGAAAGCATAGCCACTTAAAATTAGACGAATCTCCTTATGATATATTAAAATAATCAACGGTAGTGGTAGCTAAATAGTGAAGACAAACCGTGACTAAATGGAAAGCTTATGTCATGAGGATTAAGATACAACATAATACTAAGAAAAGGTAACAATATATTTATGTTTAGAATAAAATTAAACATTTTAAACTAGAGCTAAAGCAGTAGCCAAAAAATAGTAAAAGTATCATTATTTTTGCTAAAATTAGGCATGAAAACAATGAGAGGGGATTTTTCGTTTATCTCTTTTTTTCAAGCATATTCCACAGTTTCAAGCAGAGAAGAAAACAATAGTAGGCAACAAAACACACCAGATGATTTTAACACAATTTTGTGACATATTTCTGATAGAAACCGAACATGCTTGCAAATGACGCCAAACTATCTCCAAACAGGATTTACACCCAGATGTTTACTCATATACAAAGAAAAGATATTACTAGCTGAAACTTGTTAACCAAGTCCTAATATACGAAAATCCAAACAAAGTTAACACATGAACGAGAACTCAAGATAATATATCATAAACAGAATGACATAGAAGAAACTGAATTTAAATGAAAAAAAATAAAGGGTCTACCTCTTTTGGGCAGCGAGCTGAGATGGGAATGAGCGGAGGATTAATGATTTCATTACCACAACGACATTCCAATGAGCTTTGCAAGAGGCGAGCACAAAAGAAAATCTCTTATCGATTCTTGCTTGAGTATTACTACTAATTTTTTTTATGTATGTATTCTTGTATTCATATTTCTTTCAAAACTTTGTTCTCCCTATGATTCTCTCTAAAGATAGCCTAATATTTCTTCAAATTTCTCTTAACTCTGAGTCACTCTCCCTCCAAGAAAAAAAGATAACAATCGATTTATATATGGTTATAAGCATTGTTTAATGGGGGAAAATCGAGAGGGAGAAAAGGTGAATTTGAAATCCAAAATTCGAATCCTCCAAGAAATAAGGCTGCCGTTTGAATTTCTGTAAGAAATTGTACAATCCCTTCAACGGAAACAAGAGGAGAGACGCTCGATTCTCGAGCATGGACGAGTGAGCACACGAGATCTTGACACCTAAGAATTCTCCAACATTCTAAGTTCGACAGGAGAGAGGAGGGAGACGAGTGTGCTGCTGGACTTGGGTCGCGTTTCTGAGTTTTGATTTTGCACTGGATTCGATGGGTTCTTCGCACCATGATAGTTGGAGAAGAAGAAGAACAGTATGGGTCGGGTCGTCTTGGTGTGTTGGTATTTCTAGAAATATTTAATAGGGAATGGGTTTCTCAAATTGTAATAGTAATGGGCTCAATTTCTAAATTGTTTTGTTAGTGGGTCAAGGTTTGGGCCTAAGTTGACTGAAAATTTCAATTGATGACAGGTTAGGTTGATAATAGGATGAATTAGATATTTAGGATTAAGAACTTAGCCGATCAAATTTAATGAGCAAATTCGATTAAAACTTCAATAAGATGAATTAAGATCAATTGATTAACAAGCTTCTTAATTTTAACAAAATAAAATAATTAAACTTTATATGTAAACTAATTAATTCAAAAATATTAACTATTAGAAACTAAGTGACAAAATTTTAAGCAAAACTAATTTTTTTAGATGATTTTTAAATATTCATAAAATATATTAATCATATACAAAATTATATAAAAACATATATATTACTTAAAATTATATAAAAAAATAAAATTAATTGGGATAATGCCCAAGTACCCCCTCAACCTATGCCCGAAATCTCAGAGACACACTTATACTATACTAAGGTCCTATTACCCCCCTGAACTTATTTTATTAATGATTTTTTACCCCTTTTTAGCCTATGTGGCACTATCTTGTGGGTCCAACGATGGTTGACTTTTTTTTTCCAAACTAGTGCCACGTAAGCTAAAAAAGGGTAGAAAATTACTTATAAAATAAGTTTAGGGGGGGGGGATAATAGGACCTTAGTATAGTATAAGTGTGTCTCTGCGATTTCGGGCATAGGTTGAGGGGGTACTTGTGCATTTTCCCAAATTAATTAAAAGTAACTTTTTTTTTGAATTTTATAAAAACTAATCATTTCAAAACATTTGGAATTTAAGAAGCTTGATATGATTAATTTATATTGGGGTGGGTCAAAATTGGGTGTCAACAATTATCCCTTATTTTACTTGGATTGATACAAGAAATTCGAGGAAAAGGAAATTGACCAAACTAATCTTGACCGACCACATTATTCATATTTAGGAAAAAGGACTTGGTACGTACTTCAAGAATTATGGCCGAACACTGAAAGTGGGCTTCCTACATATTCAGGCTATATGAGAATTTAGGTCACTTGTAATTCAATATGCTTGATTTGTTATACGAATTTTGAAAGAATTTGAAAGTCATCTTGATACAAAATTATGAAGGGACCGACTGCTCGAGAATAAGATTTAAGAGAGAATATTGGAATACAATCGAGTTTTCAACACTGAGCCTGCCTACATATCCTTAGACCTTAGAAATCATGTTGTTTGTAGTTTGACTCGATCGGTTGAAAATGAAATCTCTTATGTAAGATAACTTTTGGTTATGAAAGAGTGACAAATAAATTGAGTATGAAAAGAGGTTTGCAACCTCTCAGCCATGAATGTGACATGTTTCACACCCATAAGTAAGAACTTGCACCAGACGTAATTTCCTAATTTCATAGAGAATTGTCACTTGGATTGGAAAGTTGCTTCCGGTGAACATCAAGAATTTTTTGAATGCAAAACCGAAACCAAAAACCCTAAGAAAACCCACACGCCTTTGGATACGGGGTGGTTTGATTGTGGTGAAAGTTGCTCCTCAATTTGCGTCCTAAGAGTTTGATACTCATCTTCGGACTATGTCCTAGTTTGCTGCTAAGAAAACATTCCACGTTGTGCTGCATCTTTATTGATGTCGTCCGCACCTATAGTTTGATTTGATAAATTCATCTTCTTGGATGCTCTCGACAAAGACTGAAACAACTAGTTAATAGAAAATGTAATTGGAAAAGTGGTAGAATCTCTTACGATGCTTTTCAGTTACTTTTGATGCGAAAGATGTCATGTAAATATGTTTAATATATGTTGCTTTGGAACACATTGTGTCTGTTACAACTCATGATTTGTTGAGAATTCGAATTTCATTGCTTATTTTCTGCATGGTAAACTCTGATGATCTCCGCAACAAACTAGCTAGCTCAATAATTATCCAATAGTAAGGAGGTGGATGACTCAGTGATTATCCAACTCTAACAAGGTGGATGGATCAATGATAATACTATTGTAATGAGGTGGATGACTCGATAATAGTACTACTTTACGAGGTAGATGG